AAGATACACACCGACCAATCACACGCCAACACACACCGACTTTTATTTTGTAGGATACTGAAGCAGTGCTTTTATTTTGTACGATACTGAAGCGGTGCTTTTATTTTGTAGGATACTGAAGCGGTGCTTTTATTTTGTAGGATACTGAAGCGGTGCTTTTATTTTGTAGGATACTGAAGCGGTGCTTTTATTTTGTAGGATACTGAAGCGGTGCGGTGCTTTTATTTTGTAGGATACTGAAGCGGTGCTTTTATTTTGTAGGATACTGAAGCGATGCTTTTATTTTGTAGGATACTGAAGCGATGCTTTTATTTTGTAGGATACTGAAGCGATGCTTTTATTTTGTAGGATACTGAAGCAGTACGATCACCCGAACATCGTGAAACTGATCGGAGTTTGCACCCAGAGACAACCCATCTACATCGTCATGGAACTGGTCTCAGGTCTGGACCTGGACCTGGACTGGACCTGGACTAAAGCAGGCTGTCTTATTGTGACAGTGTAATCTTCCTGTCTTGAGTTTTATTTTGAAATGTTCTTAGGGGGAGACTTCCTGTCGTTTCTGAGGAAGAAAAAAGACGAGTTAAAAACCAAACAGCTGCTTCGCTTTTCCATCGACGCTGCAGCCGGGATGTCCTACCTGGAGACGCACAACTGTATACACAGGTACTACTACTACTACTACTACTACTACTACTACTACTACTACTACTACTACTACTACTACTACTACCACCATACCTCGGCTGGTCCCGGCCCGCAGACGCTCAGACACGTTGCATCTCACGTGGTCAGAAAAAAGTGTGTGTGTGAAGAAAAGACGTCAAGACCAATAACCACGATGACCATGACCATGATCATGATGACACGTTCTATGTCCGACAGGGACCTGGCGGCTCGTAACTGTCTGGTGGGGGAGGGGAAGGTGCTGAAGATCTCAGACTTTGGGATGAGTCGACAAGAAGACGACGGAGTTTATTCTTCATCAGGACTCAAACAGATCCCCATCAAATGGACCGCCCCCGAGGCCCTGAACTACGGTACCGCTCCACCGCTTCTCACTGGGTTCTAAACCGGTTCTAAACCGTTCTAAACGTGTTCTAAACCGGTTCTAAACGTGTTCTAAACCGGTTCTAAACGTGTGTGTGTTCTGCGTGCGTGTGTTGTGTGTGTTGTGCGTGTGTTGTGTATTGTGTGTGTGTGTATGTGTGTGTGTGTGTGTGTGTGTGTGTGTGTGTTGTGTGTGTGTGTGTGTGTGTGTGTGTGTGTGTGTGTTGTGTATGTGTGTGTGTGTGTGTGTGTGTGTATGTGTGTGTTGTGTGTGTGTGTATGTGTGTTTGTGTGTGTGTGTGTGTGTGTGTGTGTGTGTGTGTGTGTGTGTGTGTGTGTGTATGTGTGTGTGTGTGTGTGTGTGTATGTGTGTGTGTGTATGTGTGTGTGTGTGTGTGTGTGTGTGTGTATTGTGTGTGTGTGTGTTGTGTGTATGTGTGTTGTGTTATTGTGTGTGTGTGTGTGTGTGTGTGTGTGTGTGTATTGTGTGTGTGTATGTGTGTGTGTGTGTGTGTGTGTGTGTGTGTATGTGTGTGTGTGTGTGTGTGTGTGTGTGTGTTGTGTATGTGTGTGTGTGTTGTGTGTGTATGTGTGTGTTGTGTGTGTGTGTGTGTGTGTGTGTGTTGTGTGTATGTGTGTGTGTGTGTGTGTGTGTGTGTGTGTGTGTGTGTATGTGTGTGTTGTGTGTGTGTGTTGTGTGTATGTGTGTGTGTGTGTGTGTGTGTGTGTGTGTGTGTTGTGTGTGTGTGTGTGTGTGTGTGTGTGTGTGTAGTGTGTGTGTGTGTTGTGTGTATGTGTGTGTGTGTGTTGTGTGTGTGTGTGTGTGTATGTGTGTGTGTGTGTGTGTGTGTGTGTGTGTGTGTGTGTGTGTGTGTGTGTGTGTGTGTGTGTGTGTGTGTGTGTGTGTGTGTGTTGTGTGTATGTGTGTGTGTGTGTGTGTATTGTGCGTTGTGGGTCCCTCAGGTCGGTACAGTTCGGAGAGCGACGTGTGGAGTTACGGTGTGTTGCTGTGGGAGACCTTCAGTTTGGGGGTGTGTCCTTATCCTGGGATGACCAATCAGCAGGCTCGAGAGCAGGTGGAGAAAGGTGAGGGTCAGAGGTCAGAGGTCAGGGTCTCTCTGCTCTGTGATTGGTCCTTTACTCTCTGTGCTCTGTGATTGGTCAGGTTACAGGATGTCCCGCCCCCAGCGTTGTCCTGAGGAAATCTTCAAAGTGATGCAGAAATGTTGGAGCTACAACCCGGAAGAACGTCCACGCTTCAGCCAGATCCACCGAGACCTGAGCCAGGTCCGACTCTGACCTGAACCAGGACCAGGACCAGGACCAACCCCCGAAGAGCATCCCCACTTCAGCCAGATCCTCCCCTGGACCTGAGCCGGGACTGATCCAGGTCTGTGTTTGCCAGCAGCCAATCAGAAACAGCGCTACAGGAAGTGACCTCATCAGCTGCTTTTACCTCAAAAACACTAAAACTGCCACGAACGGACCAATCAGAGCCAAGGACGGTCCACACGCGGCCAATCAGGTGCTTCCTCTCCCTCCACAGACTTTAGTCTTTTATTTAAATAAATTTACTCCAGATGCCCTCCCAGAGCGAGTCGACTCCACCAGCGGCTCCTGGTTAAAGTGCAGTTGTCTCTGAAACAATGAAATGATCCAAATCTAAAACACCTGTCACCTGCCACCTGCACCTGTCACCTGCACCTGTCACCTGCACCTGTCTCTGCTCCTCTAAGATTTTAAAAACACGAATCTCCAAATGTGGAACTTTGAGACGAGATGTGAAACTGATCTGAATGTTTGTCTCAAATCATGTTTTTTAAAACTTTTGTTTCTATGAAGTGCCACAAAGGACTGAACCGGGGCCGAACCGGGGCCGAACCGGGACCGAACCGGGACCGAACCGGGACCGAACCGGGATCACATTTTGGAAACACTATTCTGTGCGAAGTGCCCTCCTCTAACACTGTCCTTGATCACATCTGTGGAACTTTGGGTTCAGTTCAGACTGGACCAGGTCTGGACCAGGTCTGGACCAGGTCTGGACCAGGTCTGGACCAGGTCTGGACCAGGTTCTAACCCATGTGAGTTTCCTGTAGCTGACCTGCCTCCACAAAGATTAACACTTTAAAACTCTAATTTTCCCTGTGTAAAAAAGAGCGTTTCCCACTTTCTTTGTGGAGGCCATTTTATATTTAATATTTAACAGACTCGTCGTTCAGAAATATTTTTAAAATGGTGGATTCTGTTTTTGTGCCTTTAAAACTACAGTATTTTATTTGAGCAGTTTTGGACCAATCAGAGCTGTCGCCAGGCAGACTGAGGAGGGCGGCTCCTGATTGGTCGTTTTCTACTGAGTGTAAATACAGTTTGTACGTTTTCTACGACACTACTCACGCTTCAGTCTGTGTAACACTAAGTATTATCATGCTCTTATTCTGAAAATAAACTCACTACGGTTTCCTGCGTCTTTCATTTAGACCAAAATAAACTCAGATTTTTACAAAGACAAAAGATTTTATTTCAGAAACAAAACATTTGATTTTCAAACTAAAAAAAACCGGTTCATTCAGACATCCAGAGTTTGAAGGTTCGATCGTAGGAACACGTCGCGATGAGTTTCCCGTCGGCTGAAATGTCTAAACCCATCACCTGGAAACAAACAAAAATAATGAAGGAGGAATCTGGAGCGAGCGAGAGGCGGGGAGGCGGGGGGGGCTGACCTTTCCTTCGTGTCCCGCCAGCGTCTTCAGGGGCATCCATCCCGGGTGCGTCCACACTTTGGCCGTGTTGTCGTAGGCTCCGGTCAACAGGAAGTGACCGTCAGTCGCTAAAAAAACACAATCTAAATATAAAATCGAATTCTTATTTCGAGAGTCAGAGTGAACGAAGCGCGTTTACGTTGGAAGCGAACGGCCGACAGCAGGTTCTGGTGGGCGGGGACCGTGTACAGGCAGCGCCGGTTCCTCAGCTCCCAAACTTTACAGGTGTTGTCGGCACTTCCTGTGGCCAGGTGATGCCTGCGGGGCCACGAGAGTTTATTTAGAAAACACAAAAACAAAGTCGTTCACAAAGTTTCACACAAGAAAATCACAAACTCAAAACATTCAAAAGGAAGAAGTCAGAGATAAAGGAAACTCCTGAAAACACACACACACACACACACACACACACACACACACACACACACACACACACACACACAGTGGAGGCGTGGTACATAGTTTATATAAAGTGCAGTAACTCGTCTGACCCGTTGGGGGAGAAGTTGACACTGTAGATTTCTTTGAGGTGTCCCTCGAGGAAAACAACACAACGACCGGTCCTGAGGTCCCACACCCGCCCGAACGCGTCCAGACCCCTGTACACACAACAACAACACACACATGAACACACAACAAACACACACCCGCCCCAACGCATCCAGACCCCTGTACACACAACAACAACACACACAAATATGTGGTGTGTGGCTTGAGAGAGTAGAAATAATAGTAGTAGTATTTGCAGTAGTATTTGCAGTAGTATTTGGAGTAGTATTTGCAGTACCCTGTTGCTGTGAGGGAGCCGTCTGGGTGGAAGTGCAGGTCGTGGACTCCTTTACTGTGTCCCTCCTGATGAAGAATCTCCTCCTGAACCTCCAGGTCCCACAGACGCCACGAGCTGTCGTAACTGGAACGACACGACAAACACCATCGACAAACACGATCAACACGACAAACATGATCAACAAACATGATCAACACGACAAACATGATCAACAAACACGATCAACACGAAACACGACAAACATGATCAACACGACAAACACGATCAAACACGATCGACAAACACGATCAACAAACACGATCAACAAACACGATCAACACGACAAACATGATCAACAAACACGATCGACAAACATGATCGACAAACACGATCACCACGACAAACACGATCAACACGACAAA